TCCATTCTGGTTCTTTTCTTTCGTTTCCCCTTCTCAGATTTTAAGTTTCATTTCTACCCAGTTCCAGTAGGGAAACTCCCTTGTTTTCAGTTACCAGTTTTCTGGCTTGGTGAGTGAATCTTGCCCATACCTGCTTCTGATCTCCACGGAGCCAAGACACCTCCACTTCAGCCTAAAGGTCTGTGGGGCAATTTGTGAAGGCAAAGGGCAGGAAGTTTGGTAGGAACAGACTGAATGTATTTGGATGAACTTGTGGTTCTGAAGCTGCTCTTAAAGCAGAGAGCCTGCTTGTATGTTCTCTGCAGAAGAGAGATATATTGAGTCTGGGGATGGCATGACAGCTGGAAAAGGAAGACTTAAGAACACTGAGACCCTTGTTTGCTTCTTGGATGGATCATCACTATTTCTCAGGCTGAATTACACTCATCTTCTTTCTATTCTGAGGTTTTGACTTTTCTACCTTGCTAAGGTGAGCCAGAGTAACTTTTTTTTCAGAAATAGAAAAAACTATTTTTCTTTTCCTCCAGTGAAGTGTGTGAGATGGAGCCCTGTTTTCCCTCTTCATAAAGGCTCAAGCTCCGGGGTGCCTGGGTGGCTCAGCGGGTTAAAGTCTCTGCCTTAGGCTCAGGTCATGGTCTCAGGGTCCTGGGATTGAGCCCCGCATTGGGCTCTCTGCTCAGCAGGGAGCCTGCTTCCCCTGTCTCTCTGCCTGCCTCTATGTCTACTTGTGATCTCCCTCTCTATCAAATAAATGAATAAAATCTTAAAAAGAAAAAAAAAAAAAGCCCAAGCTCCTCTAGAGAGCCAGTAGAGACAAGAGTCCTTATCTGGACTTGTGGGAGGGAAAGGGATCTTAGGGCCTGTGCCCAGGAGAAGACACTCTTGTAACTCCTCCTATTACTCTTCTTATACTGATAATTTCTGAAAAGTTGTCCAGAACTTTCCTGATGAATCACCAGACTTTTGGTCAGCCTGATGAGAGAGGCTGGATGATCAGACTGCTGTCCACCTCTGCAGCTCCCCCACAATCACTTGTCTCTCTGGGGCTTCAGACACAGGGAATTTGTTCTCTTCTGAGTGAACAAAGCTTACTCTCACCTCAGCAGCACCCCACGACACTCTGGTGTCCACTCCCGACTTAGAACTTGTCCTCCATCATCTTGGACATACTTTTCCATTGCTAAACTCCTTACTCTTCCATTGCTAAACTCCTTACTCCATTTTCTCTGCACAGAGCTAAGGAAAGGAGCCGGTAGTTTCTCAGAAAGAACTCCATCTTAATCTTACGTCTGAACACCTTGTATCATATCTCTGTGTTACATAATATTTTGATGTGTACTTTCCTTTCTTCTCCCTTTTCAAAAGTCATTGGTCTGTCTCTTACATCTAGACAAGTTTCGTATCTGGTGCATATTAATTGTTTACTCAGGAGGCTATTACAGTGTCCAATTGATGGGAGAAAATGGGCTTTAAATTTTTAAGAATACTTTTGATTAAATTCACAAGAGCAAAAGCATATAACTGTGATGAAAAAAATTGTATTAACACCTACTGAACAGTCAGGAAATATTAAGCATCTATAAAGGATTATAATCTGGGTGAGTGGAGAGAAAGTAAACAACAAAATAATGATGCAGTATAAGAAAAGACAAAAACAAAGAAACAATAGCATTAAAAGACAAAAAAGACCCATCACAGGGCTCAATATTTATGGTGTACCCTGGTAAAGTGCTTTGCAGGTTTTTTTTTTTTTAATTATTATTATGTTCATTTAGCCAACATACAGTACATCATGAAATTTTGATGTAGAGTTCAATGATTCACTAGTCACAGATAATACCCGTGCAGGCTTTGCAATTTACAATAGTTTTCAGGCTAGGTCTCAGTGTGGGAAGGTGATTTTCAGCTGAGTTTTCAAGGAATTGATGGATTTAAGTGGATTTTTGCCCAGAGTGATCAAGGAACATATAAGGCAGCCAGTGTCGGTGGGGGAGGAGTAGGAGCTGGGCTGAGGGGATGACACAACAGAAGGGGTTGTATAATGTGGACCAAAGTTGACCATGATAAAGAGTGACTCAAATTGAACGACATGCATTTGACTGGAAAAATAGTAAGATTAATGGATGCTTAAAAAAAAAAAAATCATTCTTGCTGGTGGTGTGAACAGTGATGAAAGCAGATTGTATGAGATGAATGACAGTGTCGGGGAAACTGGTGGGGGACCTTTTCCTGAAATTCAGGTAAAAGACTCAGTTGGATGAGATCTAATTTGAGACAGACAGGGATGAGCCTACCATACCTTATGGACTCTAAAAGAATGATCTGTAGGTCATTTGATTCTATTTCTACATTTGAAGAAAGGGAGTACTCTTATTTCTCAAGGATTTTTATATAAGGGATAAATAGGTCTAAGTGATTTGTAAATTGCAACTGATTATAAAATTGTTAGTGATGAAATTACCTCCTGATTGTGGCCCTTGCTGTGTCTGTAGGTATCTCTGGGGATTGAATTTGAGGACATGGAAAGGCTCTGGGTGGAACAGGTGCATTGGGAGGTAAATTCTGGACCATTAGAGAACTGCTAATAGAAAGAAAAGATGAAAAGCTGATGAGAAAGGTCTAAGCAGGTGCAGAGGGATGAGGAGATTCTAACTTTATATATTCATGACGCTTTGTGTTCCTGTGTATGATGCAGTGTTCTAGGTATTGAGGCTCTGTCAGTGCACAAAACCATGCCTGATGTATGCATGGATTGCTTTTTAGGAGGAAGAGGCAGACATTTAAAGATGCTATGTATTACATAGCAAAAATAAGAGAAATATAGCAAATGTACAGCAAGCAATAGTATCAGCAGTTTTGCTGCAGAGAAGTCAAAGCAGGTCCTGATAAGAGGGCTGAAGAAGAGATTGATGAAACAAGAGTGAGTCAGGCTGAGATGGGAGAGTAGTTCCCTGCAGAGGGACAAGCAAGTGCAAAGTTTCTCTGAGGCCGCAGTGGCTTTTGTACTTTTGACTTTAAGAAACTGGGAAGGCAGAATAGATGAAGCTCAATAGCAGTATCCTAGGTGAAGGAATTCAGTCTCAAAAGATCACGTTATAATTCTACTTATACAAATTGACCAGAAAAGGCAAATCTATAAAAACAGATGATCAGTGGTTCCCCGAGGCTCAGGTTCAGAATGGGGATGATGGCTAATGGCATTCAGTTGGTTTTCAAGTGATGGAAATGTTCTGAAATTGGACTGTGGGGAAAGTTATACAGTTCCCTAAGTTTGCTAGAATTATTGTATTGTCCTCTTAAAATGAATGCATTTGGTATAAACATAACTTGATAAAGTTGTTTTTATTTTTATCTTTTTTTGGTTGGTGAATTAACTTTAAAAAAAAATTTTTTTTATAAACATATAATGTATTATTAGCCCCAGGGGCATAGGCCTGTGAATCGCCAGGTTTACACAGTTCACAGCACTCACCATAGCACACACCTTCCCCAATGTCCATAAACCAACCCCCCCCATCCCCTGCAACCCTCAGTTGGTTTTGTGAGATTAAGAGTCTCTTATGGTTTGTCTCCCTCCCAATCCCATCTTGTTTCATTTATTCCCTTCCTACCCCCCAAACCCCCCACATTGCATCTCTACTTCCTCATATCAGGGAGATCATAGGATAATTGTCTTTCTCCGATTGACGATAAAGTTGTTTTTAAAAGGTGAGTCATGCCAAACCACTAGAGACTCAACCTCACAAAGCAAACTGAGGATTGCAGGGGGGTGGGAGGGTAGGGATAGGGTGGCTGTGCTGTGGACATCGGAGAGGGTATGGGCTATTCTGAGTGCTGTGAAATGTGTAAACCTGATGATTCACAGACCTGTACCCCTGGGGCAAATAATACATTATATGTTAATTAAAAAAAAAAAAGGTGAGTCATGCAAATATCAGGGGTAGGATCACCCACACCAGAGAAGAGCAGTGCAAAAACCCAGAGGCCATAATTGATGAGGGAGCAGGAGGCTGGCTGAAGACAAAGCAAAAGCTGGCACCTTGCACCCCTTTCCACCCGCTCCCCTTGGTAATGTATGTGACATTCCTCAGGCACCCCTGACTGCCATAAATGAGAAACAAATAGTTAACTTGCAGAGATCACAATCCTGCAAGACAGAGTCTCCCTTGGTTTACAAATGTCCTAGAGATCTACAAAGAAGTTACCTTATCAATAGCACAATTTCCAGAGGCAAATAACTCTGCTCCTCAAGCCCTAAATAAAGTTAAATTTCTTCTAAACCCAAATCTCACTAACAAAGATGCTTGATAGCAGAAATGTGATTGGCTTGCCAAAAGACAACATTGATCAAGCTGCAAGGTCTCCGGTATCCCTGTACCTTGTAGGCTCTCTTTAGCATATGAAAGCTCCGTTGAAACCTCCCTTCCCCTCACCTTCCCCCAACCGCAAGGTACATAACCTGCCATCTCTCACAACCCAGGGCAGCAGTTCTTCCTGCCCACGGGTCCTGTCCCGGTGCTTTAATAAACCACCATTTTGCACCAAAGATATCTCAAGAATTCTTTCTTGGTCATTGGCTCCGGACCTCAGCCCACTGAACCCCACCTAGGTTCTAGAACTTCATCATAGTGGGTTTAGTATATTTAACAGAGAGGATGTGTTTGGGGGTGGGGAAAAAAAAGACAGAAAAAAAATTGATGGGTTGCACAAGATTCTTGGTAGGAAGGGCTTCAATGCCAGTAGAAGAGAAACTAGCAAGCTTGCCCTGGTGGGGTGAAATTTGTCATGTAACATTAAATGAGAGGAAAGTGTTTGCAATTATTACTAAGAGCCCTTTTCATTCTGATACTTACCTATTCCTCTTGTTTGTTTTCTTTCCTTTATTGGATATTCCTTTATTGTATATAAATGTTTTGTCCATTCTGAATCTCTACATAATCAGTATCCTTTCTATTTCTGCCTTTCTTATCATGCCCCTTTCAACATTCCCTGCCCTGCAGGAGTCTGTGAGCAAGGCAGGACTCCACTCTCAGGACAAGAAGAAACAAGGGGAGCACTGCAATGGATTTTCCAGCACAGATGAACATACAGAAGGAAGTGACCTGCCCCATCTGCCTGGATCTTCTGACAATGCCCCTGAGTCTGGACTGTGGCCACAGCTTCTGCCAAGCTTGCATCACTGCAAAGAGTAAGGATTCAGGGGTCCACCAAGGAGGGGAAAGCAACTGCCCAGTGTGCCAGTGCAAATACCAGTTTTGGAATCTCCGACCTAATCAGCCCCTGGCCAACATAGTGAAGAAAGTCAAAGAGAACATGAGCCCATGGCAGAAAAAGCTCTGTGAGCACCATGGAGAAAAACTCCTGATCTTCTGTAAGGAGGATGGGAAATTCATTTGCCAGCACTGTGCCCAGTCTGTGGAGCACCATGGTCATCAAATATTCTTCATGGAGAAGGTGGCCAAGGACTGTCAGGTAGGCCCAAAGGAGAAAGTAAATGTGGCAGAAAATTACCTCAAGTGAATCCTTCACTTTTTAAAATTATTTTCTTCCCTTTGTCATCGTAGAACTGAGCTCTGCGATCTCTTTCCATATCCTTGTTTAGCTTTTGAGATTTAAATTAAATTTTTGTGCACTCTATCATTTGATCAGAAATAAGTCTAGGCTACAAAGAGAAGTTGGATGAGTGGAGAAATGCTCCCCAAGATAAATTCTGATTTCCTCTTTGAGCAGAAGGGTTTCTGGAGAACATGGTTGGGTGAGGGGAACCTGTCAATGAGATGAAAGGACTTTCCTTGCTGCAGGATCAATTCTTCCTCTAGGAAGAGAGAGATTCAGGTTACTCTTGATCAAGGGGTGGTACCTTGCATCATCCAGGGATGCAGAGTATATTAACCTCTTCAGATTTTTGTCTACATCCTGGATTCTAATCACCAGTTTCATTTCTGTAACCTCCTCTCTTCTGAGATGAGTCTGATCTCTTCCCTCTATCCAGGTGCTAAGAAAGCTCATAGCTTAACTCTGTTGATTGTTTTCTCACAGGAAAAGCTCCAGGCAGCTCTGAAGAAGCTGAGGAAGGAGCAGCCGAAAATGGAGGAGTTGGAAGCTAACATCAGAGAGGAGAAAGCTTCCTGGAAGGCAGGAAGAGATATTTCCTGAGGGAGTACTGAGACAGAAAACTGGCAGCACCTCAGTCCAGTCACAAGGAGGCCCCTTCCTCTTTGTTACCTCAAATTAATGAGTTTGGGGGCTTCTCAATTGGTCCTCATTTCACTCCTTTCCTGTTGAGGGTTGGGTGCCAGAGAGGACACATATCACAAGTGAAACCAAATATTTGGAGGTGAAGACATGGAGGAAAGCAATGTAAAAACGACTCATGAACCTCATGTCTGAGGCACGAATACTTCCAGAAAACACTCCAAGGAAAGCCCAGTGTTCCCTATTTAGGAGCTGTGGGTGGAAAGGGTTCCCAGGCAGTGTGGCGTGATTACGGGATTGCAGGACAGGTGTCTGCAATCCCAGCCTCATCCAGGTGTCGCTTTGTGTCTCGAGGTGGGCTTCATTAAAGCAGACTTTAATATATTCCTTTGGGAGAAACTCGGAAGAAAATAGTGGGGAAATGGTTTACTCAGTAGTTGTTCTCTGACTGTTCCCTTCTCTTTGAGAAGTCCCTGAAGAAAATAGTTCTTGTCTTGGCACCCAGGCCCAGACAATGTAGGCTCTTGGCCAGACAGACTGACTGCCTCTTTCTCTTCTCATCCCCAAAGAATCATATGCAGACTGAGAGGCAAAGGATTCTGAAAGGGTTTAATGACATGAGAGCCACCCTGGACAGCGAGGAGAAGAGGGTGCTGCAAAAGCTGGAGGAAGATGAAGTGAATGTGCTGGATAACTTGGTAGTGGCCAGAGACCAGCTGGCCCAGCAGAAGCAGTGCTTAAGGGAGCTCATCTCAGATATGGAACATCAGATATGGGGGTCATCAGTAGACACAGTGCAGGTAAGGCTTGGGTTGGAGCTCCCACATGATGAAATTCAGGGTAAATAGAGAGACAATATTTTCTTCTCTGCTGGGTCCCCAAACTTGCTTCCTCATGGCGACATTCAAGGCTCTTGGGCTCTTTAGTACACCTGTGTCATTTCAAGGGTCATAGGGATAATTCAAAGTATGAATGAAAAGGGAATTGCCATTGTTTGTAATTTATGAAAGACAGTGCAAAAAATTTGGAGATAAATTCTTTATAAGCTCCCATTATCTGTCTTCCTGCATTTGTAAGGCATCTCCTCACTAAGTTTAATCAAATACCACAAATCTTTGTTTATGTTTGATTTTCTTGTTGTTGAGTCCAGACTGTGCCAAACCTGTAGTTCTGATTTGCATTTCCAAGTGTAGACCAATAATGTTGAACATCTTTCCATGTGGTTTATTGGAGATTTGTATATCTTCTTTGGAGAAATATCTATTCAAATTCTTTCCCCATTTTTCCAATTGGGTTGTTTGCTTTTTATTGTTGAGTTGTAGAAGTTTGTTGTATGTTTTCTATACTAATACCTTATCAGATATATGATTTGCAAATATCTTATCCCTTTTTGTACATTGTCTCTTCACTGTCTTCCTGGTGTCCTTTGATGCACAGAAATTTTTAACTTTGGTGTGGTCCAACTTAGTTATTTTTCTTTTATTCCCTGTGCTTTTCTTCCTGTCATATCCAAGAAATCATTACAGATCCAATATTGTGAAGATTTTTCTTTGAACAGTGTTATACTTTCAGATCTTAAGTTTAGATCTTTAATTGCTCTTACATCATAATTTATATGTGATATTAGTCATCCATGTTTAATATTATTGTAACTGTTGTATTATATTGAGCCTTTTTGGGGAGATATAATTTGGTAAAAAGGGTGAGAAGATGGCAGTAAAGGGATGGGCTGTATGGGACATCTGTCCAATCTTAATTCAATTAATTCATTTTTTTTTTTCTTGGTAACAACCTCTTGAATTACCCATTAAGGAACCATCCTCATCCTCAGTCCATGGAGTTGGTTAGGGTTTATAAAATTGGTAGCATCGGGGATGTATGTGTCTCTCAATTCTAGGTAAATCAGAATATGAGATTCCCATATGCTCACCAATGATGCAGTACTTATTTTAAGATAGGGACCTGACCCAATTTAGGTCAATGATTTTTATGCCTTAGAATTTTACTATCATGACTAGAAAGAGAAGTTCCCTTTTTCAGCAAGTAATATATCAGAGATTATCATTAAAGCAGGAGATTCAAGTTGATTCCATACAGAGTCTAAAAAGAAAGCCAATATTGCAGGTGGAAAATAGAATTTGAGAAGAACAGATTCTGATGACAAGATTTTCATTAAAAAACCTAGCTATGACTAAAGTTATACCTGCCACAGAATTTATTCTTCTTTCTTTCTTTTTTTTCCATTTTATTTTATTTTATTTCTTTTTAGTGTTGCAGCATTCATTGTTTATGCATCACACCCAGTGCTCCATGCAATACGATTCTTCTTTCTTTTAAATTTAAACCAGTTTTAGTCATATACAATAACAAAAAAGCCTAATACAGAGAATAAAACTTTATCTGAAGATGTAGAGCCAACTGATGGTCAAGACTTTGTTGGTATAAATGGGTTAGGCTGGAGAGAGGGAAACCAAATATATTGGTACATTTCTGTTCAACAAATTAGGCAAATAATGGCTATGCTGGGAATAAAAAAGATGGCTAAAAGATTTTGAGGATATAAGCTGGACTGGCTTAATACAATATTGGAATTCAGAGTAGAATATTATAGTTTCTAAAGCAGTGACTGAGTAGATATTGGTATCATTTTGGACAGTGGGATGTAAATAGTTGGGAAATAGTAACCTACATTTTAGACTTCCTCAGGTTCTGGTTTCTGTGGCTTATTTCATGCTTAAAAATTGGAGAGGGTAACTGTAGGCAGTATAGAGGACATATATAGAATGAGTAGAAGGAAGCCAGAGAAACACTTGTTTGAAGTTCTTGATTACTTGTACCTGCAGTGAAAGAAAGTATACTTTTGGAGAATTATTATTATTAATTCCTCATCTTTGACTCTCTAGAGCCTGGAATGATGTCTGGCTAATATGGGTTTCACCTTTATTTCTCTCTGGAATACATAAGAGCATGATGAATTAATGAGGTCTCCTCATGAATGTATTTTTTGTAATGTCAAAGTCTCTTATCTACTTGTTAAATATATCACATCTCCAAGTACTAGAAATCATCTTTCTAACATCCTTACATGAGCCCTTGGGATGGTTGATCTCAGTCTTATCTCTATATTTTGTCTTCCATACTCTGATAATCTATTTATTCACCTCATATCAAGGAGCTTTAGGGGGTCTAAGGTGGAGAAAACTTTTTAATTTAGGAGATCTTATAACTCTTGGAGGGTTGCCAGACAAAATACAGGATGCATAATTAAATTTTAATTTCAGATAAATAATAAGTTGTTTTCTTGTAGTAGAAGGGTATTCTGGTATCCTAAATATTGCAAGAGGTGTACTTAAACTAAAGTATCTTAAATTAAATTTTAATCAGCCATTTTTATTTTCTAAATTTGGTAATCCTATACATGAGTCATGTTTTCTCTTTTCTCCCCAGGATATGATGAATGTCATGAAAAGGTATGTGTGGGAGACCAGGTATGGTCCTTTTTTTTTAATGTGAGGACAGAATTATAGCCATGACAGTTCTCTTGGGATCAATCAGAATTTAAAAAAAAAAAAAAAAAAGAGTCACCGAGCTGGGGAATTTGGGAATTATATCATTTCAAATTTTTGATCATGGATGAAGATTTTCAGTGGAATTGGGGTGCTGTTTGGTCACAGAGCTAGGGCCAACGAGATCATGATTTCACTCATTCTGGTCAAACCTGTCTCTGCTGCAGTTTGTTTCCATATTTCATGGGTGCCTATCTTATTTCAGAGAAGACCCTATCCTCCCTCTGCCAAGCCCCCTAATTTCCACAAGGACAGCCCCTCTGCATTTATTTTCTTCCTGATATTAGAAGAAACAAGGTCTTTCTAGTGGTTTTATTTGCACTTCCAAAAAAAAAAAAGTCTCCAGTCTTGGGGAACAGTGGTTTCATCCTGATGCCAATAATTAATCTCTTCTTGCTTACATACATTAGCAACTTGTAGAAAATACGGTCTTCTGTCTAACGTTGCCTACCCACTTGGCAGCATCAAGGTCTTCCTAAACACATGAAATTCAGACCACTATTCACTTGGTTGTCATAACTTCTTCTTTTCCAGATGTGTGTAATGTTTCCCCAGAGAATATAACCTTAAATATTATTATCTGGACATCTGTACTGGGATAAAAGGCTTTGGAGACCCTTCACACTTTTAATACAGGAGCTCCATACTTAATAACCTAAATTCTTCCGTAGCCAAGCTCTGGAGCTTCTTACTGATCACATGCCTGGGAGCTCACATCTCTGGCCTGTCCCTGGTAGAACCACTACATGGCAATGACTTCTTCATATATCAAATAATTTTTTTTTAAGAGGTATCAATACCTCTTAAAGGCACCATTATTTCATCCAACTTTATTATGAAAAGATAGAGTATGTGGTTAATTTTTCCATTTTAGCAGGAAGAACATGAGTTTCTTTGAGGTAAAGACCCTCTGAAGATCACACACAGGGTAAATGGAAAGGTAGACATAAGCATATTCCTTCTGGTTGCAGCATCAGAGATCTCCCCAACCTCCCTTCCCCAGGATCTCCAGTGGAGAAGATTCAAGTGCATCAGTGGAGCAAAAAGTAAGGGAAACAGTGGTCTTTCCGAGACTTAAGGTCAGAAGTATGGGGTGATCAATTTTTGTCTTCTCTAGGAGTGAGAGGTGGACCTTGAAGAAGCCAAATATTGTTCCCAAGAAACTGAAGAGTACATTCCGAATTCCAGATCTGAGTGGGATGTTGCAAGTGTTTAGAGGTAAGGGGAATCAGAGGAAGGTTGTAGGTGTGGAATTCTTGTAGTATCAAGCAAAATAAGGCAAAATAAAGGGGAGGATGTTTCTAGATGAGAGAAGATAGAGGCCTGACAAGGAGAGCTAGATCTCTTATGCTGAAAGACCTAAGGCGGAATGGGCAAGTTGTCTGGTTCATTCACCAGTTCATAGCCTCACAGAGCTCCCCTCCCTACCCTCATCCTAGTGAGAAGATAGGTATCAGTGTTTACTCCTTTGTTTCTAACAACATCATTGAAACTTTTGTCATTTCAGAGCTGACAGAGGTCCAACGCTACTGGGGTAAGAAGGAGTTAACAGGTTCTTCAAATCACCATATTATGATCCCTTTTTAGACACTGTGGGTACTATCAGGTCCTGTCATCTTAGCCTCATGTATTCCTCCCCAAACATACAACAGTTCGTAAGTGTTCTACTCATCTCTGACCCACCACATAAGTTCCCGCCAGTCCATTCCTGATAACCTACCTCACAATGTCACAAGACACACTTACTCCGTATCCATCACCTGACCCTCTCATTTTTTCCTACAGTGGACGTGCTGCTGAAGCCAGTCAATGCTATTTCGAATATTGCCATTTCTGCTGATAAAAGACAAATGACAACTGTGCACAACTTCTCTCTTAAAAGTGTATTTCTATGTGATTTCTCTGCTTTTGATGTCTTGGGCTACCAACATTTTTCCTCAGGGAAGTATTACTGGGAAGTAGATGTGTCTGAAAAGATTGCCTGGATCCTTGGGGTGTACAGTAAAGCAAGAAACCTCAAGAGAAAAGAGAGCTCTGGGTTTGTTTTTGATCCAAATGTAAATCGTCCAGATGTTTACTCCAGATACAAACCTCAGTTTGGCTACTGGGTTATTGGGTTACAGAATGAATCTGAGTATAAGGTTTTTGAGGAGTCTTCCACCTCTGATCCCAAGATATTGACTCTTTTCATACCTGTTCCTCCCTGTCGTATTGGGGTTTTCCTTGACTATGAAGCACGTATTGTCTCATTTTTCAATGTCACAAACCATGGGTCACTCATCTACAGGTTTTCTAATTGTCAGTTTTCTCATACTGCTTATCCATATTTCAATTCTTGGAATTGTCAACACCCCATCACCTTGTGCCCACCGAGTTCCTAAACTTTCTCAGTCCCTCACCCATTTCTGTGTAGGTCCCCTTGTCCTGGGGTTCATCTACAACTGAGCTCATCTGCACCATTCTGAACATGTCTTCCTTCTTTTCTCCATCTTTCATTTTAGAATGTTTTTGAGATAGTCTGCTAGGACTGCTGTCACAAAATACCACAGAATGGGTGGCTCAGACAACAGAAATTTCTTGTCTCACAGTTCTGGTGGCTGGAAGTCTAAGACCAAGGTGTCAGCAGAGTTGGTTTTATCTGAGGGCTGTGAGGGAAGAATCTATTCCTCACCTTGTAGAAAGCTATATTCTCATCTTCCCAGTGTGCATTTCCATGTGCCTAAATTTCTCTTTTTCTAAGGACACCAGTCAGATTGGAAAAGGACACTCCCTAATTACATCATTTTAATGTAGTCACCCCTGTAAGACCCTATTTCCAAAGGGTCACATTCTCAAGTATTGGAGGTTAGGATTGTAACACATGAATTTGGGTGGAACACAAGTCAACTCAACAGTCTTTTAGACATCCCTACCATGCAGTGAAAGCTTGAGCTTTTCCTTCCTAATATTTTGTCTTCATTAGGGGAGAATGCTTTATTTTTCCTTATTAGTTTTTACTTAGTAATAGGAGAGAATGCTTATTTGCAAAAGGAACACATCTAATCCCTTTTATAGAAAGAGTAGTATTGCTGTACCTCCTCTGACATCTCCTTTCCTCGTTCCCTCTGTTGTTTAAGGGAATTAACAAAGGAAAACTTATAAATTCTATCCAAGTGCATAGGGCATAGAACAGTATATAGGAATCTGTCACTAGGTAATGAATCCTTCAGAGTGTGTTGCTTTACCAATAACACCCCTTTATGTATCACAAAGTTAAAGCAGAAGTGCATAAGTAAAATATATACTAAGAGTAGATTTTTGGTACTCAGAGTTTCTAAGGTCAAATCTTGTCTGTTATAAGCTGTGTAAATTTGAACAAGTCACTTAGCACCTCTTGGTCTCATTTTCCTAAAAAAAAAAAATTGATGTTAAAGATTGTACCTATTTCGTAGGGTCACATTGAGAAATCAAATTTTATTAGAGGTGAAGCACTTACCTAAGAGTCTTATATGTAAGAATAAATATCTGTTATTGCTGGAAAAATATAAGCTGTATTGATGGAATTTTTTTTTTTTTTTTTTGGTTTGGGTTTGGTCTTGCTTTAATAAATGATAATTGACTCTATTGAAGTCTCATTTCTCAGGTCCCCAAATCCCATGCAGACAGTATGAGTTTTCATGATGTGTCCTCTAGAGAGGGTCAGGACTAGGATCATCTGTGCTTATGAGAGACAGCCTTCTGGTGCTCAGTCTTCTTCCTCATGGTGCAAAACATGAATATGCCACTGCATTTACCACCCTCTGCACATTTCACCTGCTTCTCCGCCTTCTCTCCCTTCTTCTTCTCCCCCTTTCCCTTCTCCTCCTTCTCCTTATCTCTTGTCACCCCCTTTGTCCTCTCCCCTTTCCCCATTACCTCCTTTTCCCCCTACTCCTCCCTCTTCTACTCATTCTCCTTCTCCCCCTTCCCCTTCTCCATCTTCTCCTCCTTCTCCTTCATTAGAGAATATGAATGAACGATAGAACTACCTAAGAGAGTGAAAACACAGATTGTTCTTTGAGAAGCATGCTTTATAAATTAGGACAGGCTAGGCCACTATACAAAATTTGAATCAAGATTTGAAGGACATGACAGAAAGATGAGAATCTTGGCCATGCTGGATGAAAATGAATATGTCTGGCATGGGAGCAATGTATATATCTGTGTATGTCTATCTATGTGTGTGTGCATATATACACATGGGTATATATACATAGAATCATTTGTATAAATACATGTACATATATTAACATTATCCTGGTTAGTCCTAACAAATATCCTAAGAGGGAGAAATTTACATCAAGAGATTAGAAGAATTTATACACTAAAAAAAAAAAAGGAGTTTATAAACCATTAAAATTTTCTCCTATGGTCCAACGGCTAATGAGTAGGAGGGGCAGAATTAGTACCAGTTGTGTGTTACTCCAGCACCTGTGGCTCTCCTGTGCAGCACACCACAGAGAAAGCAGCAGTCTGACTCCCAGGGTGTGGGGAAGAAGGGAGAGCCAGGAAATGTTACCTGCAGGGGAAGCCCGGTGCAGCTTAGGGAAAACCGGAGGGGCCATGAAATGCAATTTGATATGCTCAGTGCATCTAGCCTAAGTGAGACAGAAGTAGGTCATGACCATAGACAATATTATGGTGAGCTTCTTCATGGTCAGCGTGTTACTGCAGATGACATGAAGACAATATCCCCGCCCTTTGTGTAGATGGTGAACATTGGCATTGGAGGTCCTAAGGCGGGACTATGAAAACAGATCAAATTTTGTATCATGATGATATAGCTCCTTTGTGGCCCTTATCAAATTAATGAAGTTCTATGGGATTCAATTTCTCCTGTATAAAATAAATAAAAATAATAAAACTTACCAGATGGGGATGTTGTGGGATTTAAATACTAGGATATTTGTGATAATCTGCTGTTTTCTAGTACATAAACATTTCCCCAGAGTCATGCCAATCTGTGCTTTTTATTGGTTTCTTTTCTGACTTGAAATAAATGATTTTAGGAAAGCACATTCATTCATTCTAAAAATCATTAACTTTGCTCTATTTCAAGAAATAGAATAATTTGAGTAACAAAACACAATCTTTCAAATTTCCTTCTATCCAGTTTTAAAGTAAATAGTATTGTAAAAATAACTTCATTCTCCTCATCTCCTATAATCATAGTAAGCCCCTTCAACTTAACGTATTAGGTAAAAATGTATTCATATTCTCCTGATTTGCAACAAACTAACACAAATTCCCTGACGGGCTTAACTTTTAGGTTTAAAAGAATGCACAGTTATTCTATCACAGTTTCTGTGGATCGGCAGTCTGGGCACAGTTTTCTGGGTTCTGTCCTTTAGTGTCTCCCTGGGATGTGTACAAGGTGCTTCCTGAGATACAGGCGAGAGCAGGGAAGGGCCTAGATCTAAACTAACTTGTGATTTTGGAGCATTCAGTTCCTTGCACTTGCAAGACTGAGATCCTCAGCTTGTACAGAGGGTCCAAACTTCCATAGGAAACTCTTAATGTGACTGTTACTTCTTCAAGGCCAGCAGGAGAAAGACAGCACCTCTGGGGAGAGAGCCTTAGATAACGTCACCTACCCACTGTAGTGACGGCCCATCACCTTTGCCACATTCCACTGACCACAAGGAATTCACAAATTCTGCCCTCTCTCTAGGGGAAGGGATTGCACAAAGTCATGAACACCAGGGGTCTCTTCAGCCAGAGGGGTTTGAAGACAGCTAGGGAAACTGTCTCTCAGCCACTGCCCAGGGCCCTCTGCCATGTGGGGACAGCCCATGGGTGTCCAGGAGCTGAATGACTGAACACAGACCCCAGGCCCTGACAGGCACTCTGCAGGGGAGGCAGATGCTGATACTTCAGAACAAAAGAAAGAGTCCTTTGGGATCCATTCACCGAGCCACCCTAAAGAGATGTTAGAGCCTTAATTAGATCCTCTCTGGAGGCAGGGAATGTTGCTGCAGTTTGTAAGCATGAGAGGTACTGTGTGGCTGCCTGAGTGCAACCCTGTCCTTGAGAGGGCATTAGCGGCCCTGACAGCAGCTGCTGGCCCAGCAGAACACCAGCAGCAGCCAGTGCTCCCCGGCATGGCCAGCAAAGCATGGGGGAGGCTTGGGCTCAGCTCACATCAGTCTGCCCCCTCTGTGCCACCTGCTTTCCAGTCCCGACCTATGTCCCAATCCTGAGGGCCACCCCTGTGACTCATCCAGGGACCAGGCCTTCCCGTGGTCCCCAGGGTGGTGGGAGGGCCTTGCCACTTTGCCCGCATGTTTCTGCTTTTATATATCACCAAGACTAGGTGTTCAGTGGATGGCCTTCTGTCCCTAGTAAGGACCAGATCCTCTTTGCCAAGGTTAGAACTCAATAGGAAGATTAAAGAGAATTGCATTTTTCAGGTATTTTATAGAGCCATGCACTGGGTACTGTGATCCCCGGCAGCAAAATGAAGGAAAAACAGATAATACTGTCTGATTTGGGGTCAGAAGCCACCACCATTTAAATAAAGTAAACTATTCAGGACACTTGTTAAGATGGAAGGTAAGGAGGACTTTATTCCAAGGGGGCTACTATAATGGGGTGCTGTAGTTGGGGACAGAGATTCGCCTAACTCTGAATGCAATAAGGGAAAGTGAGGATTTATAGCCAAGGAGCAGGATCAGATGTTAGTAGATGGAAAATTACTAACGTTACTAAGAAAATCACTAAAAGGGTACATATTGCTGAAATGACCAACAGAATTTTTGCTGAAGGCAGGCCAGGGTGATAAGATGTTGAAGGGTGTTCAGACCAGGGGTAGGAATTTCTAGAAAATGCAGCAGGATTCTAGACAATGGGAGAAGGACACTGGAAGCCTGAAAGTTAGGGCCCAGCCGAGAAGAGAGTTCAGAGGCTCCTGACTGAGTTCGATCAAGGAGAGAATTGTCACCACGCAAGACTTTGCCCAAGCCTGACAATGGGCAGGTGTCTCTGGGCCCCTGCAGCCTTATATTGTGATGTCCCCCACTGCTGAATGTATTACTGGTATAGATAAATTGTCTGTGTACATCTTTGCTAATCCTTTGCACCCAAGCCACCAAAGGGACGTTTTTGTGGACATGTGGAGGACTGCAAACCTCCCTGATTTGGGGGCTATAGCAAATGGTCTGGCTTTTTCATTGGGCCTCTAGAGAGCTTTAGGCTGGCATATAAAACAAGCCTCCCCATGGAGATGGGGCATTTAGAGAAAAACCTGTTCTGCTCCTACTAAGTTTTTATGATTCATATGGATGCTCAGCAGAGAGGCCCCCACACTTGTCCAAGGGAGCAATCAGTGAGCAGACCCTGACTGTCAACTAAATGTGGAGACTAAAGTGTCCTCCACCCCAGAGCCAACAGGTATGTGTCCAATCTTCTGAATTCAGGTGAGGATGGCCTTTGAAAATCTAGACACCGTCTTACATCAGTCCTACCCACGCAGACTGCTGGGGGACAAGAAGATGCTGAAAGAGTGCAAAAAGCCTGTCCCATCCCACCTCTCAGACTACATCACTGCCCAAGGACAGATTCCCCAGACTAAGGGGTGGAGTATATTGTTGGCAGATAGAATGCCCTGCCCCACATCAAACCTCATGGCTCATCAGAGGTCT